AAAAGAGAAACGAAAAGGAGGTTATAAAATGGGGTAAATAAAGTAGAGAGTGCCACGAAAAACCAAAGTACATGATCTAGGAGGGGTTTCTTAGCACCCAAGCCATCGAAACCCCCACATTGTTTAGAATTCCTTCACTACCAATCCTTAAGGAACTAGCAAGAGTTGACCGAGAAAGAGTGCTTCAAGGTAGTTCATGATGGGTGATAGTTGGAAGGTAGAGATAAGGGTTTTGGCCGATGTTAGTGACATTTGATTGAAGAGAAGGGTTTTAGTCGAAACCATAGACCATTCGGGTTTAGGTTGAAGATGTAGAACCTCACGTCATGATTGCCACCACCCAAAAAGGCTTTTCCCCATGGCCAAGCCAATCGCCAGTCATCTGAACCTGTGTCTAAGACCTCCGGATGAGCTAGTGGTGACAACCATCCCGTGAACTCTAGCATTTAGAAGTTACCGCCGTGGTATTGAGACGATAGGGCTGAGAGGTTATGATTGTGCACATCTTTTGCACCAAAAAGGTCCCGACCCCACTGGTCTTGAGAGTGAGTGATCCATTCTTGTTTTACTTACCATTTCATACCCCGGTGAGGACCTTCGTTGCCTTTCCATTTGTTCCTCGGACTCGAATTCCATGCATGGTTGGTTGTGGTCGATAAGTGGTTTTGTTGAGAATTGCATTTATCCATGAATAAGTTGAGAACTTTTTGTTTGCCCGTTTTGGTGGCTTTGAATGTCGTTTGTGGTGGATGTCGGTATTGCTTGCAACGGTTCATGTGTTGATTGTCCAAAATCATCGAGAATTCTCGCTTCGTGTCCTTTGAGTTGTCCCCAAAGCATTTGTGTAGGTTGAAATATTACCATGTGCGTGAAATGGTTTGCTTGGGAACAAGCAAACGTCTAAGTGTGGGGGAGTGATTCAGGCCTAATTACACATTTTTTACCCCCGGTTTACCTAGATGTTTGTGCCAAATTCGCTCCTTAAAGGTCAGTTTTACGCTAGGTTCTTTGTGGTTGAGTGTGTTTCACGATTTAATAGGTGAAACAAGCCTCGGAGTCGAAAGATTGGTGAAAAGGATCGAAAACCGGGAGAAGAGGTGAAAAAGAGAAGGAGTTCACGGTCATGCAAGACCGTGAAGAAGTGGAGTTGAGCGTGAACCGCGAGGCGTCCAGAGCCAATTTGAAGGTTACTAACGCAAGATGAGTTCACGGTCACTAGGGATGGCAAAAATATCCGTAACCGTGGATATCCGCCCGAATTCGACCTAATCGGGTAGGGTAAAACCCGAACCCGAAAAACTTTTAGTGGGTACGGGTAAAACCCGAACCCGAATATTGCGGGTAATGGGTGGGCACGGGTTTCTCACTATCCAACCCGAACCCGCCCGATTATACACATTCATATATATTTTGTCTAGAAATAATCATTATTTTTTCTAACATATTTAATATTTAGCATATAAATATAGTATTTTCATGAAATTGTATTGTTTTAATTATTTTTCTTCATTCTAGTGAATTATTGTTGTATTTTTCCTCTTACATAATGTGAGAATATGCGAGAATGTTAACATATTGGTTGGAGTTATGAAGAAAAATTATTACCCATGGATAACCGTGGATACCCGAAACCCGAACGGATATGGGCATGGTTTTGATTTTCTACCCGTTTCTTATGTGGGTATGGGTATGGGTAAAACCCGAACTACTTTGGGTAGGGTAACGGATATGCACTATGCGAACCCAACCCGACCCATTGCCATCCCTAACGGTCACTAAGACCGTGAACACAACCAGTTGCACGTGAACTGGCGTGAGCGATGCGGAGCATTTTGGTGCACGCCTTGAGTTCACGGGCGCGTTTGATGGTTCACGGCCGTGAACTCAGGCCGTGTACTCAGCTCTTCTCGGGTTAAAAAGCTGAGCTGCAAGGAGAGAGGGGAGAGCCCACTTTTGTGAGAAAACACCTTCTTCGGCATTCTAGTGAGAGAAACAGAACCAAAGGGAAGAAGAAGGTTAGGTTTCGGCTTCAAGGCAGATTTTTTGGAAGATTTCCCCAAGGAAAGCTAAACTCAAGGGTCAAGAAGAGAGGAGGCATCCCCAAAGATGGTTTCCACCTTTTCCCCTTTTGTTCTTCCCACTTCTACCATGGAGTAGACCTCCTTTCACTTGGGTGTAGTGAAACCCTAACTCTACCATATAGTTTTCTTGTATGTGGTTTGGATGATTGTTATTGGGTATTGTTCAATTCAATGTTTGAGGCATTATTCACCATGATTATGCATGCTTGTGCTTAGCAACTTAGGGGTTGTGCATGTTTTGTGCTTTGCATCCTATGAATTGTGCATAATTGTGCTTAGCACCCTTAAGTTTGTGCATTTAGGTGCTAGTAATCTAACTTGCCACCTTACCCTAGTTTAGAGAGGAAAATCCCCCACCTTCCGCTTTCTAAGCCACCTAAACTAGGTTGAGTTACGGCAACCCTCAATATTGAATTAAACAAGTCTATTAATCGTGGTTAAACCGTCCGACCTTCGAGTTGAGTGAGGAAGTAAGTCGATTACTGATTGTCTAAATCGAGAGGGTCGAGTGACACGGCCTTTCATCCTCATCTCGGTTTAGCAATTGAGACTGTGGTCTCCGACCACATACGCTTTCCTCGGCGATTCACGATTAACGTGCCCAAGGCAATCGTTCCAATCCACGTAGCATGATAGCGGTTAGGGTGAAGCGAAACCCGAGTGACTTTCCCACAAAAGAGTTTTCAAACCAAATTACCTTTGCTTTCTTTCATTTCAATATCGCTAGATAATGATTTCAACAACCGAAGTAGGGATAGACGGACCGGCCCGGGTCGATATCTAAATACTTGCCCTATACTGCACTTGATTAGAGTTTAAGAACTTGGGCTCTAATTGGGGTTTAATTGTGATGTAGTTTCGTGCGAGTCAATATTCAAACATTTCATAAATGTATTCAAAGTATATGAACCAATATTCTCATCTCTGAAACGAAGAGAGAGGATGAAAAGAAAACGATGTAAGAGAAAAGTGACTGAACATTAAATGAAAGAAATGTGGGACCAGTCCACTAAAAAGGTACCTAGTTTCTTTACCTTTTTCCTTACATAAACTCATCTAAGAAATATATAATCTCAGTCCGCCAAATCACATAGAGAGATATAACCTTCAATCTCACTAAACATGGGTGCTCACAAATGGTTGTGAGTAGTGGTGGAAGTTTGGTTTGCGAATTACGGGTAATCCTCAAACCGCACACTTTGTGATAACCATATTGACAATTTGTGGATAGCAAAATATTAATTTTTTAGCTTAGTGGCTAACCACTATCCACAGTGGTTAACCCACAATAACCACACTAAATATATTTATTTACTAATAATACTTTGTGATATTAAATTATGCGAAAAGTAGAATGCTACAAATTAAAGTAGCCTCCAAAATCAAATATGTACTTAGTTATTCTCCTTATCCATGTTCTAGCTCTAGGCAAACTCAAGACTATTTGCTTAGTCTCTTTGCTCTAAATTAAAAAATCAAATCTAATTTATATATTTAATTATTAATTGCAAAGGTAATTAATTTCGTATTCGATAATACCGATTGGGATACCGAACTACCGATTGGGATACAGAAATATTTTTGGGATTGGGATATCGAAATTATTTAGGGATTGCGATTGGGATTGACTTTAGAGTGTAATTTGGTATTCGGGATTTCGGTATTTGATATTGGGATACCGATACCGTACTAATTTACACCCCTACCTCCAACCCATACTCGTTATCAAATGTCATTTCCTACAGAAAGTGAAGTGACATGTAAGCGAGTGAAGTAAATAGAGGAGAGGGAGGTTGACTACTTAGAAAGTTCCGAATAACGATCCTCGCTTGTTCCATGTATATTGGGCTTCCTTGACTTAGTTTTCACTCAATATGTATTTTTTGTCGTCACTCGACTGATCGGTTTATCATATACGAGCTCGAAGGGGGAAGGAACGAAACTTTTTATGGGGTATTCACACCCAACCCGTGGTGGATAGTAATTAACCACTACCCGCTGTGGTGCGGGTACATAATTTTATTTGTGAGTGTGGTTAACCTCAAAATGGAGCAGATAACTACACCCACCCCAATTTCCAGCCCTAGTTGTGAGCACACCGAAATTGGTTTTCCCGTAGGCTGCCGAACCCTTCTATTCGCTCGTCGCTTTCAAGCTCTCGAGACGATTTAGAAGGGAGAAATGGCGACTGTGGATCGTCAGGCGCTGATGAAGGAGGAGATTAAGAGATTTACATGGACGATCTCATGATTTTCAAAGCTGGAAAAGCAAACGAAACATTATTCCGACACTTTCTCAGCTGGAGGCCACAAATGGTAACTTCATTAGCATTTTCCACTCTCTAAACCCTCTTACTCAGTCTTCCATTCAGAAACCATTATATGTATCGGTATATAGACGTTATCCGCGATACCGTGATTATTGAAGCTGAAGTTTCTACTGTTAAGTCTCTTGACACAATTTGTGTTCCCTAGTCCATAACTCTCTCCTTCAACATGTTAAGCGTTGCACTTGCTTGGAGAATTAAGCAACATCAGAGGCTGCTAGTGCTACTGGTGAACCAAGCGTGACTGAGGCTGGTCAGCCTCGTGAAACTGTCACAGAAACATTGATTGAGCTCCTTTCTCACCAGAGTCAGGCGATGACTCCCTCATACTTGTCTCCACCAAAGTTCCCATACGGCGAACAACAACACACCCACTCGCGCCCATTGACACTCTGTTTACCCCCATCACTTTCTTTGACTTTCAGGTTCAGGCCAACTGTCCCTTTTCTCCATCAATCGTGCAATTGACATCGAGAAAATTGGTTGCAGCACTCTCGTCAGTGACCAGCAATTGCGACTCTTGTTCACCTGATGAGATCTCTTCTTTGCATCCAGACCATGGTTCTGGTGTGTTGCAATAGCAAAGGGAGAAAATGGTTGGATTCCTTGGTATGTCACTCGAGGCCATCTGCCAAACCAAATCGCTTGATGAAGTTGAGAGCACCTCCCTCGAAGTTGTCGAGCATTCAACTGGTCCAGTAGAGAAGACAATCCTGAAAGCCTTGGTCTCACGTCTGGTTAAATTTAAACAAACCATCCCTAGTTCTCTGTCCACTATTGAAACCAGCAATGTCGCAGTATCATTGATGCCTCAGATGACAAAGGACATGGAAGCGCAGCTGGTTGAAAAGAAGAGAAAATTGAGCTCTTTGGAGGTTGAGGTTTCAAGGGTTGGGGAAGAAGGCACGAAGCTTGAGGCCGAAATACATCATTTATCTGCTTGCAAGGATGAACTCGTTGATAAAAGGAATTCAATTGTTGTCGAACTAGGGAAAGCCAATGAAGAGGCTTCCAAGGAACTTGAAGACTTCAAGAAGCAATGTCATGAACACAAGCAAGCGATTGAGAATAGGCTGAAAGCCAAGGAGAGAGTGGCCCAGTCCAATGCTAGTTGGGAGTTGTTCAAGGAGAATTTAGGGTGGCAATAGTAGTTGTAGGAGTCTCTTCCTCCCTTTCGATGGATCACTGATGTAAGAGGCAATGGAGCACTTTGGATGAAAAGGTTTCAAGACTTGGGGAGCAAGGCATGAAGAGCTGAAATTCAGCAACTACATGCCCGCAAGGCTAAACTTATTGATCATAGGAATTCCAAGGAACTAGAAGGCTCAAAAAGCAATGTGATGACTGATGAACACTATATAGCGATTGAGAATAGGCTGAAAGCCAAGGAGAGAGTGGCTCAGCCTAATGCCAGTTGGAAGCTTTTGCAAGGATAATTTAGGATTAATAGCAATAATACTAGTAGTCTCTTCCTCTCTCTATGTTTGGTTTCTTGGTCGGCGCCTTTTTCGGCTTTTGGGGTTAACTAAGTAGGGCTACAATGAGCTGAGCTGCTCATGAGCAGCTTGGCTTTTGACTCAGGAAATCTCGTTTGACAAAAATAGTCGAGTTTGAGTTTAGTGTTGTTCAACTAGAAAGACTTGTGAGCTAGTTTGACTTCGTGGCTAGTTGGGCTAAACTCATGAGCTAGCTCATTTTGAGCTTATAAGTTGGCTCAATAGTGTGACTAGCGAACCAACTATACTAGTGATTTATGAGTGAATCGACCTTTAGTTTAAGTTGACTTGTTGATAATTTATACATTATCAGACACACATGTATTACAATATTTAAACTACAAATTATGTTAGAGTTTAATTAACCGAATTCAACTATTTAGAATTGAACTGATTGTTGAGTTGAATTCGAGTAGAGCTTGTGAGCTTCAGTTGAGATTGGGTCAAATAGGAGAGCCAAGGTTTCAATAAAACAAAGAGCTTAACCTCTACTTGTTATTAACGGGTCGAGTCTGAGTTATGTCAAACTCGGCTTAACTTCACTTATTTGCAACCCTAACTAAGTAACCAGCAGCGATGAAGTGTAAGTTGGGTACCTTGCGGGTTGCGGCAGCAGCTCTCTTAAGCATTAGCACTGCAGCTTTTATGAGGTATAGACCTTACGCATTGACATTTGGCTTTCAGCACATAACTAATCGGCTTGTTGGCTGAAAGTTGCCACGACGAAGGAAATGTGTAGTTCCTTGTCCACTCAAAGGGAGGAATCACGGCTGAGGAATCATCATCATACAAGCATAAAGATGTAACAGCTCTGCACGTTGCATCCTTCTTAACTGCACTGACTATTGCAGCTCCAACTGTTGCGCCAGTTCCGACCTTTGGGATTCTGCTGTTTGGTTCTTTCTGAAAGTAATTCCTTCAAGTAGTCTCCTTGCTGAGGTGCCACTAGCGCAAAACCACCACGCCTGAGCAGTTCTAACTTACTATGCAAGCAACTTCAAGAAATTATAGATCGTCGCAATGTTGACCAATACTACAAATCAACTTCACAGAAGCGTAGGTGCAGTTCGAAGGTACATCAACGACAAATGTTGGTAATGTTGTTAGACGTGCTAGTTGAAGCTGCAAACCACGAAGATTCGAGACAGCGCTCGCAGTTAGTTGTTGTCATTGAAATAAAGATGCGTAACCCAATTCATCCATCGTCCAGGGAAAGCTTTCCATTAAATTGAGGATTTGCAGTAACTTCTGTTCTAACGAAAACCACCGATCTTTGCTCTCCGACATTTGCTCCATTGTAGGCTTCCCAATACTGTTCTCGAGTCTTAACATATGCTCTTTACACAATACCTAACCAGCAGCAAATCGTGCTAAGTACATTTTTGAGCTGGTAGGAAGGGGGAAATTTAAGTGTTCTCGTTGTTACAGGTGCAAAATTCACAACAAGAACACCAAGGTTTTGCTTTCCATCAACATGAGCATTGTACTACCACATCCCCCCGACTAAAAAACAATGCTCTACTGCTGATGTTCTCGGATCAAAATGATACAAAACGAACTCAGGCACTTTGAAAGGATATAGGAAAACCAAAAGTGTTGGTCTCGTCAAACACATTTACCATTTAAACACCAGCCAATCATGAAGGAACCTTTTTCCAGTCTTTAAATGGATGCCTCTTCTGTCTCTGCAACAACCACAGAGACAAGGTGAAAACCTGGGAATTACGTGAACCAACAAAATTTTGAGCAGGAAGGAGAAGAGAATGAATCAAGTAACTTACATGTACAGGGTATACAAGACACCATTCCGGATGCAGAAACGGCCTAGAATATAATTAAGGGCCACTTAATCGATCCAAATCAAAACGAACCCAAACTTCTGGCACTTGTGACAGAGTCAAGAGAGAGTTGTCATGAGCTTGCAGGAGGGTCATCCTTCCAACCCTTTGATAGAAGATCGTAGTTGATTGATGCCAGCTGAGACAGATTCTGAAATCATAACCAAAATGTGTGCAAACAAACATCAGCTGAGGTATAAGAACTGGCTGAAGATCTATCAGCATGATGAGAATTCTGCTACGACAACCAAGACTTGGGTTAACAAATGTTGGTCCTAGTATCGGAAACTGGCCCAAAGGACAGATTTTGATATTGCAACCAAGACTCACAAACATTAGTCCTAGTGTAGGAACAGGCATAAGGATGCTAATGCAGGAAGGGTAAACGTAAAGAAATTCTGAATAGTGACCACTAGCTAGCATCACAAGAAACCTCTTAAAACCTTGTTTTTAAGGTGAAATTCCATAATCAGCAAAGAGATGCCAGAATGAACAATGTAGAGTATGTTAACACTTTCGCAAAAGAAGATGAAATTGAACAATGCAACTTTCCTTTTACTCCTCTTTCTAGATCAAAGGTACAGCGTAGTAACTGTGACGATGATTTGTTTGTAATAAATCACATTTTACAGAATTCTCAACATACATTTCAGTTCAGCAAAATAACAAATTTCTCTTCCTTATATAAAGGTACAGTCTATGCTGACAAGATATGGCAATTTGGCTGCATGGTATATGAATATACAGTACGATCTACGAGTCTGATTGCCCTTCCGGAATTCTGTTGATATAAATCAATGACATTGTACAAATGTTCCTTGTCCTCCAAAGTTGCCTAATTTTTCAATTCAAACAAAATATAAGGCTTTTATATATATATATATGATAGAAACTTGCATTCTTAGTACTTTGATTAGTTGTCGGTTATTTGTTATTTCGAATTATTTGGACTGTTTAGGGAAGATAGTGATAAGTCGGATAGTAGTCGGTAATTGTTCATTTCTATATATACTGCTTGTAAGTGGAATTAGAGGGCAAGCAGAGATTAAAACCCTAAATCCTAATTTTCTTACTCTCTCTCTTCCCTCCCAACTCAGCCGACTCCCTTCCTCTCTCTTTCCCCTCTCCATCGGCAGAACCTGCCGCCTTTCCTCTCCCCCTCTTCCCCTCGGCAGCCCACTGCTGCTCCATCCTTCCCTTCCCTTTCTTTCTTCTCCCTCGACCCAACTTCCTCCCCTCTTTACTGCTGCTGCCGACAGCAGCTTCTTTTCCCTCTCCCCTTCTATTTCCAATTCCCCTATCCCATTCCCCTATCCCAACCCGTTTTTCCCAATCAACCCTAATCACCACCTGGGTGATTCGTTTATTGCCCAAATCCCTAAAACTCGATAGAACCTAATTACAGGTTTCTATCAATATATCTGTAAACGATTCTGCAGTGTGTTTTAAAAAGAACCGCAACCATTTGTACCTAGAGTTACTTAAGGACAATGTAGAGTTTATTAAAGCTGCTATTATTGTTGATTAATGTCTGGAGAGTTCTTAATCCGCAGACCTTGTGGACTGAAACCGAAAGGACAGAAGTGCTATTTTCTATATTGTCTTTCCTCGGCAGTTGTTTCCATATCATTATTTCAGTACGGACAGCCCAGAATTATAAAGTAAAACAGTCTTTCATTCTTTTCACTTTTTTTGGAAAAGAAGTAAACCCATTTTTAATGAAAATGAAAGTGCAACAAAAGCATGAGGTAAAATTAGAAACATAAAATAGTTTCAACAAATGGTAATCCAAACAGGAAAAACAAAAAAAAAAAATTGATACCAATAAAAAATTACCTTAAATGAGAAATTACTAAAAGAGTAATTGACATTGGAACCCGATTCGAAATCTGCCAGGCCCGCAAATTCGTCTCCCTGTTTGTCAGTAATGCTGTGAAGTGAGCTTGTTTGTATAACTGAAAATGAACTAAACATAAGTTCTCGAGTTTCAGGCTTCAATACCACTTCTTCTTGACGATTGCTCAAGCAACTGCTACTGCCACTTAAGCTGTCAGCATCACTTGAATCATCAAAGTCACTACCGGGATATGCATTGTCATCTGAAGTATTCCAAGTGTACCGACTGGTGAAGTAACTAGTATCAAGAGCACTATCTGAACTAGGAACAAATGCGGCCTAAAAAAGACAATAGAAAAGGTGTGACCATAATGAACCTTTCAAATACATAAAAAAAAAATTACATGGCACAATCTACAATAGAAACAGAACACTTAGCACCTTCTGTCTTGCAAGTGTGTCCCAGTTGATATCTTTAAAGAATGGATGTTGCTTTACCTGCAAAACAGCCTCATGTTACAGTTCCTTAGCTCTGAAACAGTAAAAAGAACAGAACACAGATAAAGAGGGTTCCTAACTTTAAAAGAGAAATGGAAAGCCAACAGACCTCAGATGCTCCCGTTGCACCAAGTCTCATATGAGGATCTTCAGTTAATAATCTGGAAAGCGATTAAATAGTCTCAAGATGTTGCTTATAAGCAGAATAACATTATGTGAATGAACATGAAGAAATGAGACAATTCAGAAGCTCCACACTGAAGATTGTCGAGAATTACAAAATTATCTCACCTATCAATTATATCTTCAGCTTCAGGGCTCATTTCATTAGGTACATCGGGCCATGGTATCTTCCGATTGAGAATATTATCAAATATTATCTGGAATCGAGACAAAGGCAACAGGAACAAGAAGCAACAATATAGTCTTAGTTAGAAATAGAGAGTACTGTCTTGGAAATATATTAGGAATAGTCATGCTACTGATTTAAAACAGAGGAACTAATCAAAACAGGAAAATGAAAGAGAAAGGAGAACCATATCTTTACACCAAATAAATGCTGCACATAAGATATACAGCCTGTCGCTCAGAACGTGTAAGATGATAGAGAAAGATGAGCTTTAAGACAGAAAAGGGCAGAAGAACAAATTTTGAGAAGGTGATCATGATCCCAGAGTAAGAGATGGACCTGAGGATGCTCTGCGTTGAAGGGAGGAATACCAACGATCAGTTCAAACAAAATCACACCAACAGACCACCAATCAGCAGTACAACCTGAGGAGAGTACAGCATAACCTTTTAGTATTTTATGCATAAAGATCGCATTAGCAAGTGAGGGGAACCAAGAGAAAAGCAGAGGTAGGAAAGCAAAGGAATAACAACTGAAAGATCTCCCAGGCTAATAATGATGGTTAGCAAGACAAATAAAATCACAACAATCTCAAAGCAACCTATGTATTATGCTATCACTCCAACATTTAATTTAAGAAACAATCACTTCTACAAAACACAGCTACATTTTGGAAAGTCCAAAGGAGAAAAAGGAGGTGCATCATATAATTAAAGATACACATACAGACCATGTCCTGTTCCCAAAAGAATCTCTGGCGCCAAATAGTCAGGTGTACCCACAGCAGAGCGTTTCTTCCTCTTTTCTTGTTGATCCAAAGTTGGTAATTCTGGTTCATCATCCACAAGCATTGACGTTCCACTAGCTGCTGGACCAGACAAGTCATCAGTGCTGTTGATGAGCCCAACCTTGGAAAGTCCAAAATCTGTCAACTGATCAAAACAAGGTAAACCATAAACGAGCTTAAGTATAACCAATCAACAAAATCTTGAAACCACGACCATTTAGGAAATTGAAATCGATTTATAAAGAAACAATCTGAGCTATTGATTTTCAATCTTTTGTAATGCAATTGGTAACAGAAGAAATGGAGATGGCAAAAAACAAAACTGAGCACCATAAAGTGATCCACTTGGACTTTAAGAGAGTAGAGGAGCTACATTTGGACGAGATATGCTGCCACTATATTTAAACAATTTACAATTTACAAATATCCCTAAATAGGAAAAAGCCACAAAAGAGGGGGAAAAGAGTACATGTGGCTGGCAGTAATTAGGTACCTAGGGTGTTGTTGTTAATATGTCACTTACTTAAAAGCTGAAACAAACACATATATTCACCCTAAGCCCGCAAATAGAAAAAGCTCAAAGCTAGCTCACAAAAATGAAATATTACTGACCTTACCCTCTGAAATAAGAATTTATCTTAAAGTTGCACCAATAATAGTCATTTCCCTAAACCCAAACATTTTTTGATCATTAGCAAACTATTTACAGCACCACCAGCCACTTTTTGTACCATTAAAAATATATACCATATATCCCATCAACCCTTCAATAGCAAAATCCGAAACAGAACCCTTAAGTGTTTGATGTTCATTTTTCGTAACATAATCAGATGATTACCAGTATATATTAAGAGAGTATTGAAAACCATGATACAAGACGCACCACTTTCGGTGATTTAAGCCTTCTCTGATGCGAGCCTAGCCTTAATTCTCTGTGTTCGCTCGACCTATTCATATTTGGGACCGACCACTTCAAATATGGGGTTGAGTAGCTAAAGTTGAATGTCCCGCAGTAGAATGGCCATAGGTACCAAAACGATATAAGTGCGTGGATGGCACAAAGGTGCCTAATCAGTATATATTTCAAACATGAAAAAGAGCAGTTACCTTGATATGCCCATCATGTGCGATGAGCAAATTATCAGGCTTGAGATCACGATGAACCACGCGCAATGAATGTAGATATTCCAAAGCAAGTACCTTAACAGCAGTGATCCATGGATTACAGTCTGCAACTACAATCCAAGCCCAGCAAATATTGACGGAGGAGTACTAAATACTTACAACTTCAGCAATATATACACGAGCGACATCTTCATCTAAGCAGCCCATATTTCGCAATAACGAATACAAATCACCTCCATTCAAATACTCCATCACAAGGTATAAGTTCTCACGGCAAGTAAACGAATAAAAGAAGCGAACCTGGCAAGTTGGAATCAAGTCAGAGTGAAGTGAGATTTTCAAATGACATGCAAAATTTGGATAACTGGTTAGCCAGCTCACCACAAACGGATTGCGCACTGAAATAAGAATATCACGTTCTGCTAGTATACTCTCAACGGCATTCTTGCGGATCATATCAGCCTTTTTTAAGACCTGCAGGGTCAACATATATCTGTTAAATTCTATTGTAACGGATTCATTAAAAGGCAAGCAAGCATATGATTAACAAGATCATAACCAATTTATGTAGCACCATTGTGGCAAATAGACAGGTAATAGGTATTATGTAAAAGATACTCAGACAAACATAGCATTTGAATCGGAAGCTCAAATCTGATTCTTAAACCACTCAGAGCAGGATGAACTCCCCTAAACAACTCACTCGGTTCCAATTTTCCCAAGAGAATGAGCAACCTCGTTAATCCCCCATCTTTAACTCATCCGATCTTCAGTGACCAAAACTTTCGTGCAATCTAGTTAAATTCCAAAAAGATTGGTAAGTCATGGAAGTGAGAATTTGAAGTAGCGTTGATGCTTCATTTTGTAGAATTTGAAGTAGCGTTGAAGTAGCGTTGATACTTCTTAGAGTGCACTTAGAATTACGGTCTCATCTCTTACCATATCTACCATACTTCCAGGAGGATTAAGCAATGGACCAGCCTGCTTGTACGTTTTAGCAACTTTTCTTAGATATATAGGTCTCAAGGTCAAACATCCCAACAGTGTTCTAAACTTGTACATAAGTAATACAGGTCACAGCAAAACCACGCATGTCCATACCACGTTGTTGACCATTGTCCAAGGCTAAGGAACTAAGTACATAATACAGTAGCTGTAGCTTCATATAGTAACCACGGTTAGAGATCCTTAAATAAATACATCTGAACAAAACGTGACAAGATAAGAGTTTCATGGGAATAATAAATAAATAAATAAATAACACACTGAAAGCTATTAGTCGTTTATCTAAACAGTAAGCATACAAAGGTTTGATAAATGAAGCTTTTTCATGATAAATTGTCATAGACACCGCATTCGACTACTACGCGCACAACCAATCAGTGCATCATCAATCTCCCATTAAACAATAGTGGACGAAAAGACCTTTGCTTGTTGGATTTGAAAAAGAGGGTTTTGAGTTTTAAAAAACTTGGGATTTATGATGGATTTGTTGCATTATGGATTTGGAATAGTATACTGTTTGTATAGTTATTTTCTATCATGCATTTATGATGGATTTGTCTCACATTTTTGCCTTTCATTATCAAATCCCAAATGAAATGTAGAATGTACAAATCCGTGGGGCCCATGGATTTGTGTCCCTTAGAAAACAATGGATTTGTGTCAGTTCCATGATGTTTGGGATTTGGGTGCCAAACCCACCACCAAAATCCCACAAGCAAACGATACCCAAGAGTAACCGCAACCTCAAAAGAACAGAAGAATTGGGAACAATGGATTTGTGTCAATTCCATTATGTTTGGGATTTGGGTGCCAAATCCACCACCCAAATCCCACAAGCAAACGATACCTTGAGTAACCGCAACCTCAAAAGAACAGAAGAATTGGGAACTAGGTAAACTACCTTAATGGCAAAAAGATCTCCTGTTGTTCTCTTCTTAGCAAGGAAAACCCGTCCAAATGCCCCACGGCTAATTGGTTTGATGATCTCAAAATCATCTATTGAAGTACGGTCCTTTGAAGAGTGTATGGGGCTCGTTCTCAGGCTCCGAACTACGTCATCCTCCAAGGGAGCATCTTCATCAATTACAGTGCTGCCTAAATCAACCTTCTCATCTTCCACCAGCTCGCAAAGCTGCAAATACTTCTCTCTGCATGTCAAAAAGTAACACAAATCAAGACCAGGATACTTCGAAAATATGCCAGATACCACAAACAAGGCTTGGTCTAGTTGCGATACCACTAGCTGAAACCTGGAAGTCCCAGGCTCAAATCATGTTTGAATCCCTTAAATAGTACATAATCACAAAAAGTAAATTTATATCCCTTATAAAAAAAACAAAAATGTCAAATAGCAATCTAACTACATTTGACTCAATTGCTGCCCACCAGTGGGCACTTACAGTTCAACTAACAAAACGTCCCCATCAAATGCAAACTCCAGCTTCTACTTTTAAAATATAATTTTAAATTTATGTCGACCCACTTTACTTTATCTTTTCTACATCTCTAATTTAACCCAAATCATATAAATCGTATATTTTAATTACCTCTTCTACACTAAACAAGTAAAAAACTATGGGCCCACCAAATAATTTCACAATCGCTCATTTAGTTTAATAATCTTTTCACCACAGTTCCACTTCCTCTATTAGCTCCAACTGACAGTACGATTTGCTCCAATTGACAAGTTATCAAATTGGATTCGAACACGTTCAATCCAACAAATAATGTTTATAATCTCAACAACATAAAATCTTATCACTTTCCAAAATTATTGAGCAATATCACCTACCGGATAAGTTTCTCAATCCGTGCACCAAAAGTTTCCACGGTAAGAGCATTAAACTTTCTTCGATCAATAACAACCCTCAGGTCCTCAAGGCACGATAATAAATAGGGAATGGAACGTTCATCCTCCAAAGGTGTGGTTGACACGCATCTTGCAATATCAGCTAGTTCATTCATCTGTAAAAAGCAGAATTAAATCTCCTACAGACCAGAAACCCTTTGCTTTTGGCATTACAAGTTTGAAATGACACCAGAGCAGAAATCACTTCCAAACACATGTTTACCAGATTTTTTTTATGTGACAGTAAATTTTCATAATGGAAGGAATTAGGGGGAAATAGTTTCATCAGGAAAACAAAATTTACTAGTCTGAAAATGTTTAAAGCAGATCCCTGTTACCAAAGTAATTGGACCGTGTAACTGTTGGACTTGCATCAAGTTGCAACAAAGGTTCCTTATTGCTCTTCTGCAGATTAAGTATTGACTGTAGACATGTTTATAAAGCATGAACCATATTTCTTAAGGCAAAAGCAAATGACCATGCAGACAGCTGGATGGATGTTGAATAACATCCAAGGAAAATTCCTCCAAAACATGGAAACCAGTTATGCTAAAATATAAAACTTCCGACTTAGAGATAAAGAAAATAACAAAAACAGCACAAACCTGTGGCAGGTCATCATGCTCAGGGTAAGCACCTTTGCCTGCAAGAAGCAAGTCTATCTGGCTGGTCTTTGGTGTCAATAATGGAGATCTAGGCGTCATACTACCAGCTGATGAAGTGGCCATCCCCTGATCAGATTTTGGACCAAATCGTGTTCTGCATGACATGGATGGCAATCCCTTCATGTCATCCATGAACGCTGGGTTATCAGATTCAGGAAAACAGTCAAGCATGTCTTCAGATCCTCTTCTAGACCAATCACTTAGTTTGGGGGATGGAACATCTGATTCTTCAGTTACACTGGAATTTGATACTTTCGCAACATCAGGGCTTCCAAGAGCAGGCTGGATATCTTTCTGAGCGAAAGACTCCATCATTTTCTCAAGGGTTTCTGAGATTCTCAAAAGGCGCTCATTAACACCTAGACCTTTCTGATCACACCGATCTGCAATTGCACAAATTCTTGAATGGTCTTCAACATGTGTAGTTTGAACCTCTTCCTCACAAATCCGACAAATAATGGAATTTTCATCGGATGGATTTTGGTCACCCCAGTATCCCCAGGAAACTTTATGTTGGTGTTTTGTAGAATGTTCAGGTGGATCTTTTACGGCAGGAACCTCAAGAGGTTTAGCTCCAGCAACATCCACGTCAGAAATCCCTTTGCTGCTGCTTGACACTTGCAAAGGATCAATCCCGACACCAATCTGATTCTCAGGAGAAGGTAGTTCCTTAGGACCTTTCGCAGCAGGAGACGGAAGCTTTTTCCAGGAAGCCATTCTATCTCGACCTCCAGGCGACTCAACACTTTTGGAACCATCAGTAGGAGAGAGTAAGTTTCCAGACAACACCAGTGGCTCTCGGTTCCAAACTAGCTTATGCTGTTCTTGACTATAAGACTTTGTCACTGAAGGCCCTTTTGTAGCTTTTGAAGCTGTAGAGCTTTTCATACCCCTTCCAAGACCTGGAGGAATGCGTTTCTCTGCTGAGTGCAAGACCCTAGATTGACGAAGTTGAAAGATGTTTGCATCCTCAGCCAATCCACTTTCTTTGTGAAACTGCAACAGCCTCGTACACCTTGTAAGAATGAAAAGCATCTTAGTATGAAGTTGCTTCAGTGTTCCAGGAGGAAGTTCCTGCCGTCTGTCATCCAATTCTTGAACTATGCTTTCACATTGGAGCCAAAACTCTCCAGGTGATTGCATAGCACAACTTCTTGCCAAAACCAACAAGTCCTCTATAGTTTCCTGCCATTCTGGATGACTTTCTGCATTCTTTTCTAGAATTCCAACAAGATCAGCTGCAAAGACAGCCAGATCTGAATTCACTTCTTCCTTTGCCTTGTCAAACTTTCCCCGTATAACAACCAAGATTTGCTACAGGAAACAATGGTGAATCAGAAAATGCAAACTTCGTTAGGCATATGAACCAGAAATGACAGATATATTACCTCCACATTATTTAATCCTCGAGGCTTCCAGAAAGGGAAAGGACGTACACCTTTGGAATTGAGTTCATGAGAAAAACTTTTTATATCAGCTGGAAACCTCTTCCTTGGTGCACTAGTGACACGAAGGATAGCTTGAAACCGTGGAGACTCAGACTCCTAAGGAAGTTCACAAACACAAGTCCATCAGAATGAACATTTCAACAACTTCCTGGTAATAATATGTCAACACAAAAGTAACATTCATTTCTAGAAATTCAGTACGTACCTCAGGTGTAAAAACATCTGAATTTCTTACACCACCAGAACGACCGGAGGATGACTCATGTCGGCCTACAACATAATTTCACAAAACCAATCTTCAGACAAAGAACCGCAGTGAACCAGATTTGCATACAATGAGACATTCCATTTCCTATTGCTAACCACAGTCCAGTTCTATAATGCCAGACTATGCCTCCTTTGCACCACAGATCTATTACTATCGTAAATATAGCATAAAACAAGATGGTTGAGAGTTCACATCCAATGAAAGATAAGGCAAATAAATCACTGTTGAACCTTCTATGTTGGTCCATTTCAAGATCATGATACAATATTTGGCGAAAACTAATACGGAAGATTCTATCTGACATTCATTCAGACAAAAAGCAAAAAAATCACATTACAACAAAAAGAGGCCGGGGGTAAGAGCTACTATTTGAAACTTAATTCGCCAAAAGATTATGGCACCTTCAACCTGAAACCATACTGGTTTCAACCAAAAGAATTATCTACACTTGAAAGCATCAAACATTACTCAAGGAGATCAAATATCAGAAATTCAGCACCAGTCCGGAAGATTACTAAAGTACTAGCTTAGATATAAATTGTACATATAAATTGCAAAGCACATCCTTTCAAGTGCTGCTCTGCTATTAGCTGTTCCCATCAAATAATAGCTCACAATGGCGAATTTTGTGTTCTATCCATGTCAATGCTTGTACTATTTAAAAGTCAGTATGCACCTACTCATCATTTGACGTCTACTAGTCTTCTAAATTAACATTATTGGCTGCAACATTACACTCTAGACTCTACCACTAAACATGTATTGTACTATACAGTGGTCAGAATAGCACAAGCGCCACATTACCACTCTTTAAATTACACTTTTGAACCTAGATTCTGGTATATTTTCCAATAATTTCCAAAGGAACTATGAATTCTAGCCCAAGCGTACATTATAGTGGACATCATATTGCAATCAAGCATTAGCAAAAGGCTCTAGTAGCAAGAATACACCATTATCATGAAACCAAAAAGGCAACAAATGGTATATCTGTCAACGGCCTGCACCCAGGAATAGTGTTTGCAATATGGTTATATTAATGATGCCCTTTTCACTAAGTCGACCACTAAGAAACCTTAAGGTAAAACTTCGAGCTATAAGCACAGAAAATCTTTTTCCGAGGATCAAAACCCCTCGTACTGTCGTACAGAAAGGAATTCACTAGAAAGGGTCTCACTAAACAGTCTAAGATGCAAGGGGTTCATTTGGCACTCCAAAATAATATATCGTACCTGCATCACTGGAGGGCTCCCCATCCTCTAAGCGAGTCCCTGGCAACAAATTGGGAGTTGCCTCCCGGGTCTGCGCGCCATCCCCAGTTAACAGTCGATCCCAATTGCTGCTAGCATCAATTGCTTTACCACTACGGTCTTGAAACCCCGGTAACCTACTCTGCCCCAAAACATCCTCCTTCTTCACCGACCCAGTCGCGTTGGAAGAGGAAGCCCCCTTCCCGGCACTAGGCCTCGACAAATTACTTACGCCCAGTACCCCTGGCCCCTTTTCTCCCCTGAAACTGAAGAAACTCTCCTGAGGCAACGGCCCTGATCTCGTCTTTATCTTATTCAACCCCAAAGAAGAAGCTAAAATGGGAGATACGGACAACGCGTCCTCCTTCCCATTCCCCAGACCCTTCTTGGACTTGGAAGCCGAAGCAGACCCCAGGACAGAAGCAGAGAATCCCCCTTGTTTAACGGGCGTTTGAGGCTGACCGAGTAGCAATTGAGCAGCAGCAACAGCAGCGGCACTGCTACTCTCCTTCCCCTTCCCGCCCACCTCCTTCCCCTTCTTCTTCAGCGCATCCTTGACGTCAGCCTGCTTACAGGCCGCCGCCGCCGCAAAGCCGCCACTGGCCCCGGAGCTGGGACTGTTGTCTTTGGAAGACGAGGAGAAGGAGGAGGAAGACTTGGACTTCTTCTTCTCTAAGCGGATCGGGGAATTGGAGCCGATGGATCGAGGACTGTTGTTGGATCCATCAGGACTGGAGGAGTCCGATTTCTTCGAAGAGAAGAAGAGCTTGTTCTTGAACACCATAGCGACAGCAACTCGCCGTTGCGCGTGCCACTAGGGTTTCACTGATTGTGCTACCTGGAACTTCTTCTGCTCCAAGTTCAATACCTAACATTGATGCGGATGAGCCGTAACGGTGCCCCAGAAAAGCAACATTAGCGAGATGGCAGCAGTTTCTAGAGAGGGAGAGTTGCAGGAGAGAACGGGAATCTATAGAGAGAGAGAGAGAGAGGGAAGGATGGAGCTGGGCGGAGTGCGAAGGACTTTGAAGTATGAGAAGCTTTAATTTTTCTTGTTGTTGGCGTTGCTGTCGCGAGATTTTGGAAGGAAGAGGGGGAAAGGGAAAGGAAATGAAGGAGAGAATTGTAAGGCCCCGGCGGGCAGCAGTAGTATATACGGAGGAAACCGGCGCGGTAAAGTAATAAGTAATAACACTTATTAGCGTTAGCTGTGTTTGCATAGTGGGTTAACCCCTGCAGCCTGTGTTTGTTTGGCGTTTGCCTCGGATCAATAAAAAAAAAATCTTGTGCTGCTATAATCTCATTTATAACTCAATAAGAATTTGCCATATTAGTGCAACCTTCTCTTTTCTCGAAAAATCTTTAATTTTTCTTCCTTTAAACTTTAATGGATGATTTCTCGCTCGTTGTAACTCGGAATCTAATTGTTTTGCATAGTTAGATCAGATTAATTGTGCTCTTCAAAATGATATTCACTCAAATATTTTTTGGAACAAAAAAGAATTGACAGTTATTACCAGTCTATACCATATGGTATTGACTGGTATTAAATAACAGCATACCATATGGTATGAAAAATACCACCTCATATCAGGGTGGTATAGTATGGTATGGAGTTGGTAACGAGAGGTATGAAACTTTTTTCACTCAGAAAAATTTGAAATCCAATAGATCATGATTAAATCGTTCTTTCTGTGCAAAAATTTTCGAAAACGACTAACAAACGAAGGAGATACCATATGGTATGCAGTTGGTAACGAGAGGTATGTAATTTTTTTTCTTAAAAAATATTGAAAATAGATATCATTTTGTAGAGCACAACAAACTCGTTTCATCTGTGCAAAAAAAAAACCGAGTTACAATGAAGAAGATATGATCCAATCAAGAAAACTAGGGAAAATAAACTCCTTTAATTCTCCACCCTTAAATCTGCAGCCACTTAAAAGAAGGGTTCAAATTTGGTTACTCATAATTATGCACCCTATCTTGAGCCTTCCAGTACCCCTAATACTTGGCCAAATCCATTTTGGTCAGAAGATTTTGTTTAGACCAACATAGGTGATGTCTCGAACTCAACTTGTTTATTAAAATTTTTGGATCGAGCGCAATTCAAGCTCGGCTCATTAATGAGCTCATGAGCTCTACTCGAACTCAGTTCATCAATAAGCTCGGGAGATCGACTTGAGCTTAATTATCATATCATTTAGTTCATAATTTTTAATTATTCATATCATATTAGTTAATAGTAATTAGTATTTGAGCAATCTATGATGTGTAATTTCTCTTATAAATTATAAATAAGACTTCTTTTTTATAAGGGTGATATAGATTTAGTTTTTAATTAGGTGCTACTCAAGAGATTCGAACCTGAGATCTCCATGTTTAACACCAATGGGATTACCACTAGAGTATAGGATATATGGTTAGGGTTAAGCAAATATCACTTTATCTATGCTTCGAAAATCAAAGTATAAATTTCACTTTAAATTAACTATACTAGCAAAATCACAACTCGTAGGGATATATGGTTAGGGTATAGGGTATGTTGTTAGTGTATAATATATTGATGGTTTAGGGTATACGATCAACAATATATATTAACTTAATATTGTCGATTGAGAGTAAGGTTAAGTGTATATGATATATGTTATTGAGTAAGTTATGATTGAAGTCACGAAAATTTTACTAAATTTGATAGTTAATCTTTAATATTCCAATTTTCAGGGTAATTTGAACAATTTTACAAATAACTCGTTTGGCAACAGTTTACTGAAGTTATTAGGGCAATGAGTTATTTCGAAATAACTCCTTTTATTACTCTGCTTTTGCCAAATACCACACGCCAAATACCAGATTTGCATGGTTATACTAAACGAGATACTTTAATCCAATTACTATTGAAATAATATTAAAATACCAAATAAATAAGGGTGCGCCTATGGTGACATGCATGTCACCATGACTTGCACTTTTCGGTCGACCTCAGTTAAGATTAGGTCGACCTAATATGTTGTTTCCGTGTAAAAACATTTACATGGTGCCTACTTTAGAGATTCATATCTTACAATTGACTCGATGGAAATTGGAAATTAATGACTTGTTTGGAAGCTGGAGTGTCCCTATACACATTGAAGTGTTTGGGAGCTGGATAGGAAGTCCAGAAGACCATTTTTGAACCTGGTCAAAAGGCTATGCCAAAACTGGAAAACTGTCTGAAAATGGCCAAGTTTGGGAAAGTGTTTGTGAAGCCTACTTTGGAGCTCAATTCGAGAAGCATGGATGAGATTCGAGTCCAGGGGCCTCTACCACATGAAAGTAGGTATGTTTGTCTACAAAGTCAAGGCATTGGATGAAATATTGAATATCTAGGACTGGAAGGCTTCAAACAAAATAATTTCTCTATGGTACACACACAGATATCTGTGTGCACCAACTTACAGGCCAGGGGGAGGACCACGTCGCCCGAGCCAGCAACGGAGGGCCAGGATTGAGCGGTTGGGACACGGGCTCGGGGAAGGGGACGAGCCGTTCTTGAGCTGTGGGGAAGCCGAGCTGAAGGTAGTGATGGGGGCAAGGAGTGAGAGATGGGTGGGGTCTGGGCCAATTTTTGGGTGTTTTGGCGGGATTTTTGGCGAAAAATCCAGCCCCAAAAAACTCTTTCATTAATTTCACCCACCTACCCACCTCTCTCTCTCTCTCTCTCTCTCTCAATCTCACAGCTCTCTTCCTCTTCCTCCTCATCTCTTCTCTTCGTCCGTCTTGCCGCCATTGAAGACGAGAATAAAGAGAAAAACGCAAGAAGTGGCGGTCTGATGCAAGATCGGTCTTTCAAAGAGAAGAAGGAGATGCAAGGAAGGGAAGATAGTGTGTCGAATATGGGGGATGATGTCGAAGGAGATGTCGCACCAAAAGAGGAGGTCCACCTTGAAGATCTGTCGACTGAAACAATAAAGGTTATGTCGAAGGAGACAGACCAGAAGATGAGGACCTTGCTGATACCATCCTCAAAGCGGATGGTTCATCAGATGGTTTGTGGGGCTCGCAAGAGTGGATGGCCGCAGTTGATGAAATAGAAGGGGGTATGTGAAGACCAAAAAAACAGATTCATTTAGACTTACATATGTTTTGGTTGTTGATTAGCATTGAATTTGTTAGGGTTTACATTTATGGTGCTTGCATTTATTATGTTTTAGGGGTTCTTCATTGCATGGTGTTCTGTGCTTGCATGAATACTTGGTTGTTCTATCCTGAATATCCCTGGTGGAGGAACAGAAACATGAATATCGCTTGCATGAATACTAGTTAACCCTAATGACCATATTACTTTTTAAATTTAATGAATATTATTTTTATGTCATCGAATATTAGTTGGTACATATTCATCTTCAATATGCATCTTCAAAAGAATATTGAAGATGAATGCGCTTCATCTTTATAAGAATATTCGTTCACCTTCTAATGAATACAAATTCATCTTCAAAAGAATATTCATTGACCTTTTAATGAATATGCATTCATCTTTTAAAGAATATTCGTTTACATTTTAATTAATACGCCTTCATCTTTAGAAGAATATTCGTTGACATTCTAACGAATATTCGTTGACATTGACATTCTAACGAATATTCATTGACATTGTAATGAATATTCGTTGACATTGTAACGAATATTCGTTGTCATTGTAATGAATATTCATTGAGATTGTAATGAATACTAGGTGACCTTGTAACGAATATTCGTTGACATTGTAAAGAATATTCGTTGACATTGTAATGAATATTTGTTGAGATTGTAATCAATACTAGGTGACCTTGTATTGAATGCTTTTATTGGTTGGATTTGACTAATTGTATTCATTTGTGCAATTCCAATGACAGGCTATGCAACACTAGAAGATGAGTGGTTAAGGAAGAACTTGCAATTCAATACAGTAGATGATTGCAAGAGCTTTTATGATGAATTGCAAGAGCTTCTATTCAAGATATGGTCATGACCGAGGTTTTGGTGTTCAAGTATACAACGAACACACGAGGTTGCGCAAGAACAACAAGGGAGAGCTTGAGGAAAACTATTGGTACCTTTACTATTGTTGCAACAAACAAGACTTTTCGAAGGTGAGTACTAGAAATCCAAAGGTCATTAAGAAACGACCGGAGGATAGTGTCATTGTTAAAACCCAGTGTAAAAGAAAAAGAAACGAGTTAAGGGTTGGGTGTAAAGCTCGTGTTGCCTTTCGGTGGGATGTCGATATGAATGTATTCGTGGTTAGTCATTTCAACAATATATACAATCATGAACTGCACTCAAAGGAGCATGCTCAATTTTTGAGGTCTAACAAAAGTGTTAGTGAGGCTGAAGGTCTGATGGTTGAAGCCAATGCGGATGCTGGTGTTAGTTTGAGCTCTTCTTACAAACTACTTGCTATGTGTGCTGGTGGTTACGAAAATCTTAGCTTCTTGAAGAATGACCAAAAGAACCATCTGAACAAGCGAAGACAGAAGAACATGGTACATGGTGAAGCAACTTTTTTGTTGGAGTACTTTCAGAAGCAAATGGAAATCAAACCTGGATTTTATTATTCCGTGGAAGTTGATTGTGATGAGCAAGTTGCTAACATATTCTGGTCGGATGCGGGCTGATTATAAATTGTTTGGTGACTCGATCTCTTTCGACACAACTTATCGTACGAACAAAGCCTATCGCCCATTGGTTACGTGTTTACTTCTGTTGTTTGCATATAATTTTCTATTCAACTACATTGTGTGATAGTCATGATAGCTTAAATACTCGTTCAAATTTTTTGAATACTAGTCTGGAATGTATGAATATTACCATGGACGGTGACAATAATGAACTTGTAAAAATGTGTTATGTAGGAATGTTTGTTGGTTTCAACCACCACCGACAGACTTGCATATTTGAGGCGTGTTTGTTGTATGACGAGACTAGTGCATCTTTCGAGTGGTTGTTTGATGCGTTTCGTCGTTGCATGGATCAGAAGCTCCCAACCACCATCTTCACCGATCAGGATGCGGCTATGGCCAAAGCACTTCGTAATGAGTGGCCCGGTGTCTTCCATGCATTATGTACGTGGCACATTTTAATGAATGCGAAGAAGCATTTTAAGAAGGACAAGGATGTTTGGAAAAATCTAAGCATTCACCTCACTTACTTATTCTACACGGTTGATAGTGAGGCTGAATTCGACATTACATGGAAGGACATGCTTGGTGAATGCTTCCCCGACAGTGACTTTGTGGATGGCGACCCGTGGTTGCAGTATCTGCTAGGCTTCCGGAAACAGTGGTCTTCATGTTGGCTTAGAAGTCAATTCACTGCTGGTATGTTGACAACTCAGGCCAGCGAATCCTGCAATGCATCGGTGCGACATTTTCTGAAACCAAACCATTAGCTGTATCAGTTTTTCATACATTTTAACAGGTGTGATGTTACTGTTTTCGTAAATACTACATACAATATTATTAATATATGCTCTGTAGTAGTCGTGAATATTAATTTGTATGTTTCCAATTGCAGTTTGGTAGAGGATAAAAGATACAAGGAGATGACTCTTGATTTTGAATCCATTTATCAGGTTCCTGTCATCTCCTCGCCATTTAGCAAGATCCTCAAGCAAGCTGCTGAGATTTACACTCCTCGCATGTATAGAAGGGTGGAAGAACAGTATCAACAAATGGAAGAGTATGAATTGGAGCCACACTCCAATGGTAGGGACGACGGATTTATTGGGTACACAACATTCTACACAAAAAATGACGTCCGTTGGGATGAACATGTTTTTTCGTTGATGTGGCAAATGCACAGCTGGAATGTGGTTGTAGGCTGTTCAATTCCATGGCCACATCCTCAAGGTGATGGTCCACCTTGGAAATTTCGACAATCTCGCCATGAAAACCCTGCCAGAACATTTTATATTGAAGAGATGGACCATACATGCCAAGAAGAAAGAGGTCGGTGAATCCTTCACAAGTGCCAGGACGGATGAGGCTCCATACACTGCCAACATTGCAGGTAACACCACAGCATTGAGATATAGAGAAACCACTACCATGTTGAATAAGCTAGCTATAAAAATGTCTGTTGCTGATGATGGAGTGTATGAGAAGTGGATGATAGCACTATCTAAAATGTGCAAGTCGGCAGACCATGCCTTGTCCCGATCCATAACAAGTAAAACCGGTAAGCATCAAATCAGAATATTACTAACTGTTGCATTGAATATTACATACTTTACTACTGAATGTTACATACTTTACTACTGAATATGACTTGTCTTATATCAGGGGGGTCTCAACCATTAAATGGTCTGACCATGAAGCAAAAGGTTAATCCACGAGTCATGGTCGTGAAAGGTACAAGTCCAGAAATGAGAAAGCCCGTGGTAAGAAGAAGATTCAGTATGCCAAGCAACTAAAGGACTTGGAGATTCTGTCGCAAGTTCCTGAAACTCAATGTGGAAGTCCAAACATGGATGACGAAGAGGACCTCATGGATCTGCTTGCATCATAGTTGGTTAGATATGTATTTTTGGGAAACCAATTGTGATATGATTTGTTATACGATAACATATCATACTGCAATTGGTTGAACTAATATTCAGGGCCTTGCGAGCTTCTATTTAGCAACATGAAACGTTATTTTGTAGTAATATGCACATTCTTGTGAAGGCATATTACGTTTGTTGCGAGCTACTGTATAGCCTGGATGAAACATTATTTTGTACTAATATTTAGGGTCTTGCGAGCTTCTAAAAAACCACACTCATATTCATTGCTATTTTAGTAACAATGCTATTATAGAAATATTCAAATAACCCAGACTCATATTCATATAACTCAGACTCATATTAAAAAATAACATACACTAAAATCAAGCATATTCAAACTCATATTCAAACACATTCGAACTCATAATGCAGCCTAGCGTAAAATCGTGGTCATGTGTTGTCTTACAAAGCTAATGGGAGGATAAATTTAATGTTTGAACAAAGTTTTTATGTGCTCACTCTAGGTATTCTGGTGTTGTCTTGCAAATGCCACGGCCATAGGTGAACGCAGTGATCTCCAAGATGCAACGATAGAGGTCCTTAACAAGAATAGCATTGTTCAGACTTTTGGTCCCAAAAAATTACATAGTGTGGCAACAAATAACATATTCAAACACATTCGAACTCATATTCACAACCAGATTCGAACTCATATTCACACACAGATTCGAACTCATATTCAAACACATTCAAACTCATATTCAAACACATTCGATCTCATATTCACACAGATTCGAAGTCATATTCAAACATATTCGAACTCATATTCAAACACATTTTAACTCATATTCACTCACATTCGAACTCATATTCAGACACATTCAAATTAATATTCAAATAGCCCAGACTCATATTCATAAAAACAGAGTCATATTCACAAATAAATACACTAGAATCAAGCGCATTGGAACTAATATTCAAACACATTCGAAGTAATATTCAAATAACCCAGACTCATATTCATAAAAACCAGAGTCATATTCACAAATAATTAGGGGAGGTCAAACCCAAAATAATTACACCTCCATACATGACCTGCACCCCCAAAATAATTTCCCACTGTCCCCCATGAATAATTACCCAAAATAATGACTCAACCTGATTAGAACACCTAATTAGGGGAGGTCAAATCCAAAATAATTACACCTCCATACATGACCTACACCCCAAAAATAATTTTCCACTGTCCCCCATAAATAATTACCCACAAATAATTGTTTTTAGTACTTAATTAGTAGGCTACCAACACTCACATCTTCTGTCTCTTACTACCTCCATCTTGCCCTTCCACTCTTTCACCCACTTCAGTATATCATATCATCCCTCCTCAAATTCTTATCCCACAGAACCAGCCTCGCAGCAAGCAGTGCACGTTGCAGCTCAACGTGCTCTTGGGTTCGCCAAATGATTTTGTATGCAGCATCCAAGTGGCCTTCCCAATGCTCCATGTATTGGCAAGCAAATACCCCACAGTCGTCATTACCATTTTCTTGTGGTACGTCTGCAACATTGAACACCCATTCACTCAAGGGCGACTCCAGCAATACGCCCTTTCTCTCTAGCAATGTCTGCGCATAGTTGAACAAGTTCCTCGCCTCCGGTCCACGAACATTCTTGGCATAATTTCCTGAAGGCTTCATGCTGTCCAACAAGAACGTTTGTTGCTTGATCAAGTCCACAACATAAACCAGGTAGTGGTCGTCCTCATATTTGGCAAAGAACATATGTTACATGATAATAAAACCTGATTTAGTATTCAGCATAAGAACAAGTAATATTCATAAATTCCATAACAGTATTAGAATGACCCAGACTCATATTCTAACCCATAAATAGTTCACTCACATAATTGAATCCTTTAAAGTCAGCAGTTTCAAATACTGGATCTCGATCAAGTGTGGCAAATGCCTCATCCGGAGACTTGCAGTTATTGTTGCCCCACTCTTAAAATTAGCAGTTGCCTTGTCCTGTGATTGCATTGAAAACAAGAACTTGTGAAGAAATTGAAGAGCGTGGTTATTCATGACATGCATTGAAAGCCTAATTTTACTTACAGCAAAAACCATAGGGAAGATGCATTTTGTCAGCTTCCCATTCTTCGTGAACTTCAGGTCGTTGAGGTAGTATCCAAATGCCTCAACAATGACACGATTCAGCCATACAGTACGTTTCAAACTCAGCAAATGAAACCGGCACACCTTGCACTTCACAGTCTCCACAAATTCCGTAGAACTGTAAAAAGGACAAAGTATTAAACACACTTTTATGAAAACGCACGTGTAAATAATAAAAAGAATATTGTTTGGATAACACTTGAATACTTACTCGTTCTCATCTCTCGTACCAAGTGAGAATTCAACTATCGCCTTTTGCAAAGGGTCCAACTTGCAAGTAACAGTGTTGGAGAGGACATAGCCGGATAATACTTCTGGCTTTCTCTTCGACCTCTCGAAGCACGGAGTTTTCATGTCCGTTCTCTTCCATTGTATGGTCGTAAGCTCCCCCTCGTCGCCTTCAATAACCACGTCCACCGTTGGTGCTAAAAAAGCAGTACTTGGAACAGGTTTTCTTTGCTGGTAAGTAACTGGAGCCGCCACGGGCACCGGAGTGGCCTTCTCCACGAACACCGGAGTGGGCGTCTCCACGAACGCCGGAGTGGCCTTCTCCACGGACATCGGAGGGGCCTTCTCAACGGACGTCGGAGTGAGCGTCTCCCTGGACACCGGAGTCGGCTCAACTGCCTCACCCTTGGAAGCCGGAGTTGGCTCCACAGATGACGAAGGAGGCTCAACAAAGGGCGAAGGAACCTCCTCCGTCGTCGGTTCCTCAATATCATGCTCAGATGGCTTGTTCTTCTCAGCCATTTTCTCAAGTATGTGGCCAATTTGTGTGGTCAACTCCAGCCATCTTTTCCCCTCATGAAGACACACACTACGACAAACCCTTAGCTAGAAAAAGACAGAAAATAGCTATTTAGGACATTGATAACACACTTTATTCAATCTCATCCAAATAGTACTAAAAAAAAGAATTAAAATAGTATTCAAACAAGAACGCTAAACATTCGTCCATCATCCTAACAAAGTACATAGAAATAGTATTCAACGTACATGGAAATAGTATTCAAATTATTAAAACTACCTAAATCTCAACATCTATTACATCCAATTTCGTGAAAGCTACTCATTCCTCTCCACATTGGGGCTCCACGTTTTCCAATCCTGCAAGCCGTGCCTTCCACTTATTGAACATGGACTCAGTCATGCACTTCAACACCTTAAGCTACAAGTATGTGTAAATTTTTTTAGTTCATGCAATCTACCTTACTCTAGTATGTTCGAAAAAAAAAAGTTAAACGTACCTGATCTTCATCCATGCGCTCCAAGTCGTCCTTTTCCCACCAAGAAGAGTTGTAAAATTTAGGAGCATCAGGAGCCTGTGTGCTGCTTTGCCCTTTATCTCCAACAGAACCACCAAACCTCTGTCGAACTTCTGGTCATCAACAAACCTGTTATCCCACCACTGCCCATGGTATGGATGGCTTCAACTACCTTCATTTGACGATCCTTGAACCAGCAGCTACAGGTTGGGGTGATGAAGGTCCCAACACCTTTGACCTTCAAAAAATCCAACAAATGGACCTGCCAGTCAAATAAGAGGAAGATGTTAGATTGGTGAGAAAAAAAAATTTAAATGGCGAGACAAGATTAAAGTGATATTCAAACAAATCAGGCACATATTGATAGAACACACACAGTAGTATTCATATCAGATTGAATTGATATTCAAATAACCAAGTCTATTTAGAAAATATTGACTCATATTCAAACACATTCGAACTCATATTCAGAATCATTCGAACTAATATTCAAATAAACATATTCAAAAACATTCTAACTCATATTCAAATAACACAGACTCGTATTCAAAAAAATCATATTCATATACACAAATAACATACACTAAAATCAAGTACATTCGAACTCATATTGAAACACATTCAAAGTAATATTCAAATAACTCATACTCATATTCAGAAAAATCAGAGTCATATTCAAATAACATACACTCAATATAATCAAGCACATTCGCACTCATATTCAAACACATTAAAAGTATTATTCAAGAAGGATAAAAGTAATATTCAAAAACATAAATGAAAGAACAAATACTTAAAACTTACAATGAGGAAGTGGACATCTCCATGGACCCAGTCAAGAAATGCCTTCCCTTGAACTGCAGCAAGGCTACTCTTCAGTTCCGCTACAACAAGGCCGGACTAGTTGTAGCTTTTTACCCGCTCAATCTTCCCAACGAGGAACTCCGCATAATCAAGCTCACAAATCCGTGACCATGATGGTCGGAGCAGCGAGGCAAGGGCAAGCAGGATGAACTGCTTGACGGCCTTACGAACAGGAGGCCTAGCATTCTCATCCGTTAACTTGTCCACCATATCACTCAGAGGGAAATTCCGGCACCTGTTTCCTCCCATCCCAATCTCGGCTTGAAAAGCCGACAACTTGGTTTTGTCCAGGCACTTCTCCAGCACTATTTCTTCCTCAACGTGAGGAAGGCCATAAACACGAGCCACGTCCTCGTCCTCTAAGGACAGCACCTTCCTATTCTCTCCCTCTCCGAAAATGAAGCTGCCAGAAATAGCATCATAGTGTTGTGCCATTACACACAGCAGAAACTTATCGACGCCTCGCAAGCGTATCTCCAGCAATCCATCAAACCCCGCCTTCTTAAGCTCCTTCTCGCATTCCTCATAGTAGGCCTCATCCTTCTTCCAAAATTCAATCATACTCAACAATGAAGATGTGTGACATCGATGCTGCGTTTCATGTGGTTTCTTGGCCTTGCCTATCCCAGCAGCCTTCCCCCCATCTTTCCCAGCAGACTTCCCCCCAGCTTTCCCAGAAGACTTTCCCTCAGACTTCTTCCCAGAAGACTTCCTCCTAGACTTCCCAACAGAAGTCTCACCAGAATTCCCTGCAAAGGTCTCACCGGACGTCCCAGCAGCAAACTTAACTCTTTTTGTTGCAACCTGATCTTCTGAACCAAGAGGAACATCTTCAGCAGTAGGAGGAGGAACATCTTCAGCAGCTTTCCCCGCAGCAACATTCCTAGAAGACTCCCCACTAGACTTCCCATCAGAAAGGGGATCTATTAAGGGTTATTGTCATTTCATAGCAGGAGGAACATCTTCAGACGCATGAGGAACATCTTCAGCAGCAGGAGGATCTACTAACGGTCGTTTCATAGGTCCAGGAACACGCTTTTTGGTTCGCACCATTATTGCAAACCTGTAGACCAAAAACACATGTATTCAAAAAAGGGGGAAAACACAACACAATGAAGAGAACTAATATTCAGAACTTTCAACATACAGTATTAATCTAGCTGCAGACAAACAATTTCAATGAATACAACTAATATTCAAAATCAGAAGAACTAGTATTCGCCAAAAACACAGTCAACATTATACAACTAATATTCAAAACCATAAGAACTAATATTCGCCAACAACACAGGCAACATTATACAACTAATATTCAAAATTAGAAGAACTAGTATTCGTCAACAACACAATCAACATTATACAACTAATATTCAAAATCAAAAGAACTAGTATTCATCAACAACACAGTCAACATTGTACAACTAATTTTCAAACCACAAATCACTATTATTCAACAAATTGAAGGTTACAGTATCAACTACATTTGGATTCAACCATATTTACTCTAAGCAAGAACCGATTCTAAGCAAGAACCCAAAAACTTAGAAACCCTTTGGGCAGGTAGAGTTCGGCTAAGAGTTTCCAAAGAAAGACTTTTCTATTAGGGGACGGTTGAGGTGAACAAGAGAAGCTAGAGTCAACAAAAAATTGACATATCTCGCCCACACAAGACACATTCTGAAGAATACCCTTGAGAATCAAGTTGATTTTGAAGCTGTACCAAGAAAACCCTAAACGCGTATTCAATAAACCCTAAACAACCAAGAATGAAGCAAAAAGGGGGATTCAAGGGAAAAACCCACACCTAGAAAGAAAAGGACAGAGAGAATCGTCCTCACCAGAGCAAATACGCGAGAAAGGTCGGCCGAAATACCCAGACTCGAGGAAGTTTGATTCGCTCTCGTCGAGGCTCTCCTGGTTATCGACTGCGCTGCTCGTCGGCTGAAGGAACCTCGTCGTCCTCGCTTTCCTTGTTCCGATGTCCTTCTTTCTCGTCGATAAGAGATCTGTGTTTGGGCAGGGAGGTGTGCTCTCTGGTTCGACGAGAGCAAAACAGAGAAAGAAAATGGAGAAAGAAGAAGAATAGAGAAAGAAAACGCAGAGAGAAGGAAGAAGAGTGGAGGTTGGAGGAGACAGTTTTTTTTTCAATTTCAAATGCCCTCTGCCCGACCCCACCACTTTTCCCTCCCTCCAGTTTTTGGCTCGGCTGAGCCGGCTTCACTTTTCCCCTTTCCTCTCTTACGCCCAGCTCTCTCAATCCTGGCCCTCCGTTGCTGGCTTGGGCGACGTGGCCCTCTCCCCGCCGTGTGAGTTGGTGCACACAAAAATTGATGTGTGTACCATAGCGAAATTGCAAACAAAAGGCTCGAAGTTGCTACAAAGTAAGTTTCCTTCTAGCACAAGACTAAAACGAAAGATTAGGTCGACCTAATACTATATGAGGTCGACCTAAAAGTGCAAGTTACGGTGACATGCATGTCACCGTAGCCAAGTCCAATAAAATAATTAATGGTGTCTTTTGGTTGCAAATGTTGATATAACCATTACTATTAGCTAGTGTACTTTACCAATGACGATTAATTATATAACAAGTTTGCAAGTCATATAAATTGATTCAACATTTTGACTAGTTTTTTTTTTAATTTAGTACATATACGAGGTAGAAAGAAATTGGTTAAAAATTGAGCAAAATATTTTAAATTAGTGTAATAAAATGTGTAAGTTGGTAACGAGTAAGGAGTAAGTTACTCGATGGGCTGACCTGAACAACCCGCAACCCGATCCACCCGCAACCCGCCTGACCCAAAACCCGATGAACCCGTAACCCGATTGAACCCGGACCCGATGAACCTGCAACCCGACTAACCCGCAACCCGTTTTAACCCGAACACGATGAACCCGCAATCCGATGAACCAGCAACCCGTTTGAACCCAAACCCGATTGAACCCAGCCCGAACCCGCCCGATTGACACCTATAGTTCCTGCTGCACTTTTCATCAGCTGATATTAGGCTTCCTAAAACTAAATCTAGCTTCATTTTTTTATAGGAATTGATGATGATAAGTTCACCATCGAGCTGCATTATAAAAGAGAGATTGTGTATGTACTAGATGAAGACTTGTGTTATTTCGGCGGGGAAGTAAGTACCTGGATTGGATAGTGATTCGGGCTCATTTGAACACCTTTTACCCCCGGTTTGCTTAGTCGTTGAGGCATTTTTACTCCGAGAGGTTTGGTTTTATGCCAGGTTTTGCTTTGTTTTGTTGTTTTTCAGACTATGGCAGGAGGAACCAACCCCGAAGTCGAAAGTTGGACGAAAATGCGAAAAATCAAGTCAAGAAAGGGTGGAAGCAGCAACAGATCACGGTGGGAGTTGTGTGTTCACGGTCACTAAGACCGTGAATTGGAGGCGCTAGCCGTGAACCGCTAGGCATCTAGAGCATAAATCACTTTCACTGGACCGTGAACTCAGGCCATTGCCCGTGAACTGGACTTAGTGATGCGGCGCGTTTTGACTTGAGATCACGGTCTGTGCTTTCAGTTCATGACCGTGGACTGGGACCGTGATCTGAGCCCGATTTGGGTATAAAAGGAGGTTGAGCTGAAGGAGAAAAGGGGAGAGACCTAATGTGAGAAACTTCTTCTTCTTCTTCTTCTTCAGCTTTCTAGTGTGAGAAAGTGGTGAACCAAAGAAGAGGAGAAGCTAGGGTTTCATCTTCAAGAAAGGATTTGAGAATTCCTCCCCTAAAGGAGGATCTTTTCAACACAAGGAGCAAGGCTAGCATCTCCATGATGGTTTTCCTTCTTCTCTCTTGTGTTTTCCCTTCTCCTAGCATGGAGTAGTCCCTTCTTTCACTTGGGTGTTTGTAAACCCTATCTAAAATTATGTGATGCTTGTATGGATTGAATGATTTGTGTGTGGATGTGTTTAATGTGAATGTGGAGGTATTTTCATGAAAGATTGTGTTGTGTGTTTGCCTATCAATCTATTTGACATTCTAACCTAGGTAGAGAGAAAGCTTCGTTTCTTTGAAAGAGGCTTGCAAAGCTGGGGTTTCTTAGACAATTCATTGTTTTCTCAGACAATTCATTGGTCGTCCGAACTTCGATTCGAGAGTGAAGTCTTGGCAACCCTTAGTCGATATGTCGAGAGAGTCACTTTGGTGGCTTGAATCGAATTCCCTCGACCTAGAGACGGAGAGAGTGGCATTTGGCTACTTGTTGCACTTCCCTACGGTTTATAACCACCTTACCACACGTGACCATTCGATCCGACAAGTCATAATTGTTAGCTAGGGGGAGCAACACTCGAGTGAAGCCTTCTCAATTACTGTCCAATCCATTTACTTTTCCAAATGTTTTAGCTATAGATCGTTGTTTTCACCAAAAATCAATCGCTAGATAATGTTATAAATAATCGAAGTAGGGGTACATGAACCGGTCCGGTCGACATTTAAACATACTTGCCCTATATTGCACTCAATTAAAGTTTATAGTTTGGGCCTTAATTGGGAGTTTTATTGTTGTATTCAGGACGAGTGAGATAGATCCAGATTGCTTGTCTATGTTTGAAATGGATGTATATCTTGTTGAGTTTGGCTTCTCAGAAAGTGTCAGGATGTTGGAGGAATATAGAATGAAGAATGGTTGGGACGCTTGAAGGAAGGACTACAAGAACTAAGAAGTGACAAAGAAATTATGGAAATGGCTGCCAAGGTTATTTAGGATACCAAATTTGTAGAGATCTACCTGATCAATAAAGAAGAATTAACCAAAGCTAGGCTAGCTGAAGTTCAACATGAAATGGCAGAGACAATATTCAAGTCTAATGAAATTGAAAGTAGCAGCAGGGGAAGGACCGGGTTAGAAGATGATGTGGGCTTCCAAAACAATGTTGATTATGCTGATTACCCTACAAAGAGTGACCCGGAACCAGGTTTGGATGCTGATTTTGAGGGCAGTGATGAAGATATGGAGGGGCAAAACAATGGGGAGGGTGGCAGTCATGAAATATACATTGATGATGCATTTGATGTCCATTTCTGAGGATTATGTATATGATTCAGACTACCTAGGCATCATCCATTCAGATGATGAAGAAGAGGTAAAGAGGGTTCCAAGTCGTCCAAGGTACCCCGAGTTCAATCCAGAGAAGGACATGAGCGATCCCCATTTTTGTCTGCACCAAATTTTTAGGGATTTTGACACTTTCAAGGATGTCGTGAAGAACTACTCCACCTATAGCAAGCAACCACTAAAGTTTAAGCATAGTGACAGTAAAAGGGTCCAAGTTGTGTGTCAAACAGGTTGTCCATGGAACATATGAGTAGCTCCAACTGATGATGAAATGGCAGTTCAGATAAGATCCTGTTGTCTAAAGCATGAGGGGTGCATCATGATGTTCAAAGGTCGATTCTATCCTAACATATAGAGAATGCTAGACTCGGCTCAGAAAGCTAGCTTCACTTGTAATGCCATTCAGAGTGGTCCACAGAAGTTCCAGGTTTCATGTCCTCAAGGTCAGGTGGTTGTTGATGTCAGTAAGTAGGGCTGGCTATTTTGTCCTGGAATGTTTGGTTTTACCCAAAACCGGACTGTATAACCCGGATCGGAACCGGACTGGGACCGGATAGCAAACAATCCAATCTCATATTCGGGCTTAGATTTGTGGTAAAAAACCCGGATAAAGACCGGATAAGAGACCCCCAATACCTAAAATCAAGATCAAATTGGGACCGGACCGGGTCAAGACCGGACCGAATCAAGACCGGACTGTATCCAATCCAATATTTGGTCCTTATATTCCCAAAAAGACCGGACTGGGACCGGATCAATTTGGTCCAATTTAACCCGACCGGGCCGTATAGCCACCCCTATCAGTAAGTCCAAATGCACTTGTAGGATGTGGGAGTTAACAGGTTTACCATGTCCTCATGCCATACGCTGCATATGGCAACTCTCGAAAAGGGTAGAGCATTACGTGGATGAGTGCTATGAGGTTAGAGCTTACCTTCAGGCTTACTCGGGTGAGGTAGAACCAATGGATGGGCCAGAGTCTTGGATGCCAAGTGGGAAGGAGCTTGTGTTGCCCCCACTGTTGGTTATAGATGAATCAAAGAAAGAAGGCGCCAAACCAAAAGGAGAAAGGGAATTGAGGAGACAGAATGCCCTTAAAAACAGAAACACAAGTTTAGAGATGCAAATGAGAGAATGAGTAGGAAAGGAAAGGGGGGAACCATTCATTGTAGTGTGTGTAAGCTAGCGGGGCACAACAAGTCATTCCATTCAAAGGGGAAGAAGGGGAAAACTCAGCAACCGAGGTGAGATAAATAGTTTTATAATTGGTTATTTGAGAAAATTTTCAGTTTTGATGTTTGTGTTTATGGTTTGTAGGGAAGCACACTACCGATGGGTTCAACTGGTGTTGTATTACAATGGATGCCTGATTTATGGTCCTAATGGTTAACAACCATTATTATGTTCTTTGTAACTTGTGAGATTCTTACAAATTGCTTCTGTTTTGTAGGGAAGCACTCGAAACCCATCCAATGCATCCCTCAAGTCAAGTTGAAAGTACCTCTTTTCCATTCCAACAAAGCAGCCAAAGCTTCACCTCAGGTTCTCTACCACCTCGACAAAGCAATCAATCCGAGGGACAAGCTTCACGCTTTGCACAAGGGGAGGGGAGGGGAGGCAAATAAAACTCCTTTTAGAGGAAAAAGAGTACAAGGGAAAGGGAAGATGTGATTTTCGTAGACAAATGGGGTGGGGGGGGGGGGGTTTAGGTAGTAGGATACAGTGCTGTTTTTTCATTGTTTTTTGGGCACTTACATGAATATCAACCGCTTTTTTGGCTGTTATGATTTCAGCACAGTCTTTGGTGTTCAGTATCCATATACAGTCATAGACATCGATCACCAAATATGTAGGCTAATCTATTTTGCAGTAGCTTTTAGCATAGTTATGTTATGGTTTTGGGTATAAAATTGAACGGGAAGACTCTGATCTATTTTGAAGCAGCAACTAGCCATAGTAACACTTCTAATGAATTTTATATCATTCAAATCATTACATCATTCAAAACAAGTTTCCTAACACATTACATCATCCAGAAAAGGTTCCCTAATTCATTACATAATCCACAACAGGTTCCCACCTCATTACTTGTTTCCAAACAGGGAATCCATCACACTCTTTGCCAAAAGAGCTCCAACTACAATAAAAAAACCTTTGCTGATTTCTCTGACAAATAAGCTGCAGTCGTTCCTCCTCTCCACCTCTCGGATTCTCTTGTGCAAGGCAAGAACAAGACGCTTAATATTATCTTCAAGTGGTGGATCAATCTAACGGAAATAATTACATATATTTGCACCATACGAATCAAACAAGAGAAGAATCAGATCCATAGTTTACATATTAGAAATGTTTGACAAAATGAAAGCTAAGGTTTAATCATTCTAATCTAATCAACTTACCCGGTAATTGGCGCAGTCGAAGAACCGTCTTCCGGGGTTGGCATCGGTCCATGAAGTTCGAAGAACCGCCGGTACCGCGCATTGACACATTGGATCTAGAGTTGCCATTGTCGACCGACTTGGAGGAAGGAGGAAGCAGGCATAAATGAAATGAGAGAAGGGTGTGCTTTTTTGGGAGAAATTTTGGCACCTGGAAGAAAGGAATGAGAGAGCTAAGCGGATTTAAAGCAGGAGGAAAAGCGGGATAAGGGCAAGCCCGCGTAGGAAGGGACTTTTGTGTTGCCTGAAGCTGAATCAACAAGAAGTGCTGACCTGTCATGCTTGCATGTCAGGAAAATTATCTCCACGGTATTTGCGGTTAATTCTGTGGACGGAACTGGTAATGTTGCTACCGGAGAACGACGTAAAGCTTTTTGTTGCAACTAATTGTGTTTAAGTGATAAACCTAGCAACAATAATCCTACTTAAGTGACATCGGGTGCAATTAACCCCCAAAAGTACCAAGAATTACAACCGATTGTGTTTAAGTGATAAACCTACCTGAGACTAAAAAAATAAAAAACAACTGAACGGCTAGAAAGAACAGAAGAAGTTTCACAAGTATGTACACAATATAACTAATCAAGCTCCCACGGCCAACCGATACATACTACCAGATTTACATTCGTCTGTCGTAGCACGTTCACAATATGGTCAGCCAAGCCTTCCACTTCGAAGGTTCTTCCTTCCCACCATACTACTACTTAATTCACAACGAAACGGTACCTGGAATCTACATACCCTTCAGCATCCCACAGGAAAGAACCGAAAGTCACTGCCTCCAGCACAAGCCTCTTCAACCCAGCAAAGCTAATCTTCATGACTTCGTCTTTGGATGTATCGATGGTGCCTTCAGGAGTTATCGCGATTTCGGACCTTCCAAACAGGGCCTCAGTGTGCTTCTCGATGATAGTGACAGCCTCTTTCGACCTGATCGTTGCGTACCTCTGAAGGGTCTCACCATCAAAGCCCATAACGTAGCTCCTCAGCCGGGAAGGCTTCATGCCAGACGGATACCCACCAGCCCAACCAGATGGTGCTGCTTCTGGGTGGGACCCAACAGCTTCATACGAACCATCAGTGCCACTGGTCTTCACATCATGCTGCACAGCATCTTGCTGGTGGAAGTTCTTCCCATTCGGGAGAACCTTCATCGTCTTCTCAAGCTGAAATCTTTGGTCAACACGCTTCAGGAAGTAGCCGTACATCACAGAAGCTGCATACACCTGCCCAACGCGAAGCTTGCTGATCTCGGCAACAGATGTGGAGTCCCACAACCGATTCCCGAGTATGAGGGAGAGGTGATTCTGGATCATCTCGTAGGCCTCGTCAGAGTGAAGCTGCTGGAGCTTCTTCTCCTCTTCGGTGGGCCACATATCGACCTGCCCAGATAGGCCTGAAGAAGGCGGGGACAGAGTTGGCACCAAGGAGACATTGGCATCCATGAATTTATGCACGATCAATGCATACAAGATTTCTTCCAGTGTCTTCCTCCTTTCGCTGGCCTTAACTTCCGCAATTCTCCTGTAGAGCACCAAGTCTGTCCCTGCAGCAGAAGGCTCATCGTTCTGCTTCTCCGAGTCACGGTCAGTCTGAAGCTGCTCAAGTTGCTGCTCAACTGCTGCAGCCACAAGATGGGGATGACTGAACAGGATCTGGGATAGAAACTGCCCCACTGGTGACTCCAATTGCAGGGGAGCAATTGATGAAATTGACCCATAGGAATACGGCTCAGGAGATGATGATGTTGACGCGCTAACAATGGGACACCTTCTACTTCTCAAGGATACTCTTCTCTGACCGGACTTCAAGCCTAATCCAGAGGCGATTTGCTGCAGTTACACAAAGTTTAAACGTTAGAAAGTGACCTAATCACTCCTAAAACACAAAAGTTCATTAACAGGTTCGTTGACAGAGTCTAATCAGAGCTCCATAACTTCCTCTGCCTAGTTTAATTCCCTTGTTATTACACTTCCACAGACAAACACTACAGCTTCTTGACATGCATCCCACTCCCATGAAGTACCTAAGAAACGCGGTTCTTCTTCCACGTAAGAGAAGCAATATGATAAAAGAAAATCCAAACTTTGCAAGGAAAAACCATCACCAAACACTAGTGCGACGAAATCTCGTTCAAAATCCAAGAACCCTGATTCTAAATCCCCAGATACCAAGTCACTAGAAAATGGAATAAAAGAGAGAGAGAGCATTCATACCCTGCAGGATGCAGAAGAAACCCGCACAAAATCAGGTCCACTTGCGGAGATAAACCCTAATCTACTGACGTAAGCCGACTGCGTCGAGTACCCGAGACCGGACGATTGAACAACCACAGAAGCTGTAGCTGCTGCATCCATCCTCCCTCGATTGAAAGATCCTCCGACGTATATAAAAGCAAATCCTTCAAAAAATCTACCAGCAGGTCTTACAAAGCACAGACACAATACCCCGGGAAGGAGTCGGCGGTTCGAGCCAAATGACTACTCTTCAGGGATGAACAAGAACAGCTAATTGAAAGAATGCTATTCTTCACTTTCCTTCACTCTCTCTTCCACGCCTCTCTGTGCGAGTTCTTATGGTGTAAGCACAAAAAGGGATTAGTGGTCTACCGTTGTGGGCGGAATGCGGGAGCCGGAGAAAGTGGGATGGGAAGAAACAGCCAACTGTCTCGAGATGCGGGTTTCTTTTCGTGTGGAATATGGAATCACACCGAGTGGGAAAGGAAACATGAGGTGGCGGTGTGGTGAATGGCATCCCCTGGCTCCTTGTGGAGCGTGGCGTGGGCCGGGCCACTCTTCGTTTTTGTGGCTCGTGTTCATTTTTCACAACTAGTAAGCCCCACTGGGCCACTGCCCACTAGGGTCTGCGGTAGGGCTGGAAGTTTGGTACCGGTATTTGGGATATACCGAATACCGTACCGAATTTGTCTATATTTGGTATTACCGAATACACGTATTATTTTATGGGATTGGGATTGGGATTGGGATTGGGATTGAATTTCAATTGTTATTTGGTATTAGGGATTACGGGATTGGGATCGGTATATACCGAAATACCGATCAATACCGAAATATAAGCTAGTGTGTATTTAATCCTCTCAACTAGACTCTCTCATTCACTACTACGCGACCATCAACCACCAAATTCGTCATTTAATTATACATTGATCATTACATCACTATTTCACACTAGTATTAGTCGTCTCTCAACCTCAAATTCGTCAAATTAAAGATTACCAATTACAAGAATTTGAGATGTTAGCTCTAGGCAACTCAAGACTATTTGTTTAGTCTCTTTGCCCTAAATTAAACAATAAAATCTAATTTATATATTTAATTATTAATTGTAAAGGTAATTAATTATGTATTCGTTAATACCGATTGGGATACCGAGATACCGATTGGGATACCGAAATTATTTAGGGATTGGGATTGGGATACCGAAATTATTTAGGGATTGGGATTGGGATTGATTTTAGGGTGTAATTCGGTATTCGGGATTTCGGTATTTGGTATTGGGATACCGATACCGTATCGATTTCCACCCCTAGTCTGCGGCATGAAGCATCGTCACTCACTGACCTCACGGGCTTTGGAGTTGGTGGCTCGCTTGGCTTCACGTAGTTATATGTAGGGCTGCAAATGAGCCAGCAGCTCGGCGTTTGACTCGAGAAAAACTCGTTCGAAACTCGGTTCGTTAATAAACGAGCCGAACACGAGTTTACCTTTCTTCAGCTCGCGAAGCTCGCAAGTTAGCTCGACTCGGTGGCTTATTGAGCTAAACTCGTGAGCTGGCTCGTTTAGAGCTCATGATATATCTTAACATGTGGCTAGAGAGCCAACTCGATTACCAACTTATGGACGAATCAATCTATATCTTATGATTTTAATTCATATGGTTGTTAATTTATATATCTCACCATATATAAAGTTTTGCACATTGAGTATGTGAGCAAATATATCTTATTTTCTACTTTAAAAAGAAATTATGCATCATAGATTGCTTCGATACAATGAAATAACATGATTTGGAGTAGTCAAAATTTATTAACTAAACGATATATGATACCAACAAAGTATAAAGTATAAGATGAGATTAACTAACAAAATAAATCATATGTATCATGATATACAAAATGAAGTACCAAATAAAAGTTAAGATTTTAATAAACAAGCTAGCTCGAACTCGACTCGTTTATTAACGAGCCGAGATCAAGCTGGGGTAAAACTCGACTCGACTCGACTCATTTGCAGCCCTAGTTATATGAATCGTCACTCAACGACCAACGCTTTTTTTTTATATTTCATAAACAAAAATATTTTTAGAGTTGTTTTTTTTTTTTGCCAAAGATATGTTTAGTGTTGTTTGAATTCAAAATACACTTGTATGGTCATAAGTTTCACGTTTGTGACAAATATAGTCATAACTATTCGAAAACACAAAATAATCAATTTCGTCCATCAATTTAATGGTGTTACTTAACAGTAGGGATGACAACAAAACCCGAACTCACCGGTACCCACCCGATCCAACCCAGTCAACACGGGTAAAATCCGTGTTGATGGGTTTTGGGCCGGGTTTGGGTTTAAACCCGTTCACTATTCACCGGGTTGGGTTTAGGTAAACCCGACCCATGGGTACCCACACCCATATAGTTAATTTTCTCGGTATATTTAATATTCTAAACAACTAATCTTATTTATGTTGGTGGAGACATGTCTAATTTTTTCTTTCAAATTTTGTAGAATGAAGTTGATATTATCGAGTGGAGAGTGAAGAAACTTAATTGAAAAGAAGAAGTTTTCAATTAATCATGTTATTTATGGATAATTTGTGATTTGCTTTAATTTTCTTGAGTTTTCTAGATTGGTGTTGAACAATTTGTATAGTTAATTTGTGATTTGCGTGAATTTTTTAGAATGGTGTTTTATATATGAATAATTTGTATTGAGAGATTGACATTTGACTTTAATTTTGATAAGAACTTGTTATTGTAATTTTTACGACAAAATCCCATGGGTACCCATGAACCCACGGATACCCAGCGGGTTGGGTTGGGTTTGAGTTTTTCAAACCCAGTGGGTTTTACCCCGGGTTTTCTTCATGAATAAACCCATGGGTTTGGGTTTGGATTTGGAAAAACCCGACCCAACCCGACCCATTGCCATCCCTACTTAACTGTCTGACTAGACTGACGAAAATGCTGATCTGGCGATATTTTGTCGCACACGTGGATTAACAATGCAATTTTTCTAGTTTAATAAAATGATAAATAAAATAAAACATAAATGCAATTTTTCGTTGGCCACTACCCCCATAAGAAGAAGCAAACCCTTACGGGTCCGCCGCCGCCAACATCATCTTCATCCCTCCTTTCCCCCTTTCCTCCATCTCTCCAGAACCATCCACTAACTTCCCGAGATTTTCTTCCCCCTACCACTTCAATTTTCCACCTATGTATCTCCTTCTCAACCTCCACCGATCCCAACTCTAAGAGAAATAAAGATCAGACATACAGCAACAGAACTCAAAGCTTTCCATATTAATTTCAGCAGTTGAACTGAAGCTCTTCCCTCCGTCAATGGCGACGAAAACAGAAGGCAAAGCAATCGGCATCGACCTCGACACCACCTACAACTGTGTCGGACTATGGCAGAACGACAGGGCCGAAATCATCGCCAACGACCAGGGCAACCGCACCACCCCTTCCTACGTCGCCTTCACCGACACTGAGCGCCTCATCGACTCAGGGGAGACGATCCGACTTTGGTGGTAGACGATGCAGGAAGAAGGTGAAGGATGGGTTTTTGTGTTTGAACTTTATAGATTTGGGGATGGGAAAGGTCTGCTTGGATTGATCGCCTTCGGGTCGGGTTCCTCGACTCGGTCTCGCTCTCCTTATTCTGCACGACAGAGGAAGATCATAAAACCCCGGATCAGCGATTCGGAAGCTCTTCCTCGAGTTCTCTTCAACCCTTAAATCCCTTTGCCACCCCCAGTTGCTGCAGATGGTTCAGCTTTGCCGCCTCCAGCTTGTCTTCTTCATGTGAATAGGAAAACGAGGAAGACGAATCAGTTGTCGGATGATAGTTGGATTGACGCCGATGAGCATTGGAAAGAAGATGAAGGGCGAGGGGGAGTAGGAGTGAGGGCGGCAGCGAAATAGTCTAGGGATTTAGATTGTTGTTAACGGCGGCGGATTTCGACGACAGGTGGTGTGGAGAGAGGAAGAAGCTTATTTTTTATTTTATTTTTAATTAATTGATGATGTGGCTGGTGATTTGTATCTCATGTGGGTGATGAGTTGGATCCTAGTCAACATTCCGTCATAGAACTTGACGGCATCCCAAATGCCGTTAAAGTTTCTAACGGATTTGGCTAGGTTTGTCACGCTACCTTCTAATTTTTGTGCTATTTTGTGTTTTCGGATAGTTATGGCTATATTTGTCACAAACGTGAAAGGTATGGCTATACAAGTGTATTTTACCTTGTTTGAATGATAACAATATTTATGTTAGTTTCATAAAAAAATGTCTACGGCATGATGCATCCATAACATTGTTTTTGAATGGTCATGTTTGCTCGTTGCGAAGATTGCACAATTCTTATTTATTTTTGTTTGTTTGATGCTTGCTAAACCTTGAAGACCTAGTTCCTCCACTTTTTCTGCACCTGTCAATGTCCTTGCAAGTACATTTATTTTGTAGTCTATTATACAACATCATACAACACCATATCATATGGTAGTAGGATGCTAATTTAATTTAATTAATATGTGGCCTATTGTACAACATTAAACCATATCATACCATATGGTACCACCATACAATATACCATAACATACTAATCGATTTTTTGTAGCCCATTGTGCAACATGATATACACCACACCATACCATATAGCACTATGATGGTAACTTAATTTAATCGATCTGTGGCTTAATACACAACATTTTATCATATTATACCATATAGTACCACCATACCATTGTATTTTTTTTAGTCCATTATAAAGCATCATACCACACCATACCATAAGGTACCACCATGGTATCTAATAGTTTTTTTTTCTAATCTATTATGTAACCATATTAAAATATACCATAAGCACTCCAATAATTTTTTTATTGTTCATTATACATGTTTAGAAGGTCGGTTATACAGTAAGTGCTTCACTACCAGTATGATAACGTTTGATATTGTAGCGACTCTACTCCACTTTTAATATACAGAGTCAAGAATTTAGTATATGTAGTGTTATATGGAGAAAATTGGGAGAAATGAAGGAAAGATTTACCTTGATTTAGTAGGCTGTCGATTCTTGAAACTTAACATCGTTGACGTTGGAATCCCTAGCTTGATGATTGAAGTTGCGAGAGCAGTTTGAATATGCAAGGATTCTTCAAAAATCGATTGATTTGGAGTTATTGTTAGTTTTTCTATATCTGGAGTTGTTTGGTAGAGGAGCGAAAATGCAAAATGAATGGGGAAGGTTTTCTTTTGAAATACAAACAGTTTCTCTTTAGGCGCATATAATTTCAGTGATGTGGCAGGGACAATCTACCTTTTTCTCATTGTCAGAAGGACATGGGAATTTATCATTTTATCCCTTTGTGTCTTATTGTCCCTAATCCGAAGGTTCCCATTTGTTTGGAATGGATGACAGATGCGTTGTTTCGTGACAGTTAATAACCTGTATGTTATTGATGGGATTCGTTTCCAAGACTTATA